AGAGAGAGAGAGAGAGAGAGAGAGAGAGAGAGAGAGAGAGAGAGAGAAACTTTTTTGGGGTTTGAGAAAGCCACCATAAAGACAGGCAAAATGTGAACTCTGAAATCAACAACTAATTCCAGAATATCTCAAAAATAATCTTAGTGATTTACATTCCTCATGACACAGTTCCAGAAATTAAAATATAGGCAAAAAGAAATACATAATTAGGTGCTAAAAGCAGTCTGTTTTTTCCAAAGGATTCTTATGAATATTCCTATAAGTGTGGCCTCTGGGAACCCCCATCGAAATCTCCTGAGCAATGACACAGCTCCCTACCAGCAAGACTGGAGACTTGGACTTGCATGTTTCAGCAACCTCTGATGACATCATGCGTCCTAAAGTTTGACCCCTCTGTGCCCCACCACATTCTTCCAGCAAGGGAGGAGGAGACCCTCATGGGCTCTGGGAGTCTGGACTACAGTTCTAGAGCAGAAAGCTGGGTTTAGTGATCTAGTCTTTCCAAAATGTTGAGATTACGAATTTCCTATTTTTTTCTATCTACAAAGAACATCTTTGGGGTCAAGTACAGGTCTGTAGGAAGGAGCTTGACCCACCCATTTGCTGAAAATTATGAATGCTTTGCACAGTTTTTTTTCCTTCATCTTTTCCTATTATTTTAGACATAGATGTGTCCAACCTGTGGCTCATGGTGGCAGGTTCTCCAGGATGGCTATGAAGTACACCTGCAGATGACAATGCCATGTCACCGTGTCTAGACACCCCTGGAAGCAGTATCCTTGTTGTATACATGAACATGAGAACCAGGGCGAAGTCAGTGTCTTGTCTGTAACCATGGGCAAGGAATTCCCTGGTCTACAGGTGATGGAGGACACATGTTTCGCAGTTGGAGAGGACAAACGCCTCCCACATCGCATGCTGAGGGGTGAACCAATGCGGGATTCCCCTCTATATGCTGTAAATATGCTTTATTGCCACTGGTTAATAAAGAAGCTGCTTTCAGCCAATGGCTTAACATTATATAGCCAGGCTGGAAAAGATATCTAGAGAGAGTAGGTGGAGTCAGAGAGAAACCATGTAGCTGCCAGAGGAGAAAGATGTGAGCTGTTAGCTGGAATCTTGCCTGTAGGCCACGAGCCTCAGGGTAAAATATAAAATAATAGGAATGGGTTAATTTAAGATGTAGGAGCTTGCTAGGAATACGCTAGAGTCACTGGCTAAGCAGTGCTGTTATTAATACAGTTTCTGTGTAAATGTTTCTGGCCAGGGTGGCTGGAAATGAACAAACAGCCTCCGTCTACAAATTGGCACCATCAGAGCTAGCTTACGCTATTGGCCAAACGGTATTGCAATTAACATAGTTTCTGAGTGATTATTTGGGTCTGAACGACCAGGAGATGAACAGCCTCCAACAAAAGTAAACGTACCTCCTTCCCCTCGCTACTGTTCTAGAAGGATGGTTGTTTCCTCTTGGGTGCTAGGATTCTGGAGCATTCCCCAAGGTTTGTCATAGCATCAAGCTCACACCTTCTCCAGTGCCAGTTGCCCAGTGGATTCTCTACAAGCAGGGAGCATGTAACCCTTTCCTTACCACACGGAAGAGTTTGAAGAAGTCCACGCTGTCATACAGTGTGTCTTCTATCCACTGTAGGGTCACCTGGGAGAGGGGGCACAGGGCATCCCGCACGGTCTGTGCCCCCCAACGCTGGCTGAAGATGATGAAACGCTGCAAGAGGGCCTCACTGCAGGCAATGTTCTTCAGTTCCAAGTCTGGGACTCCATAAGCAAACTGTAGGGAGGAGAAAATATGCTGGAAAACCCCTTGGAGGTAAATATTACCACCATCCTGAACAAAGATGCCACATTCTGACCCACAGGCCTGACAAATAAATCATATTTCACAGCAAAGGTGATAGAAAGGGCAGATGGATTATGTCTGCTGGCTAGTTGGTTTAAAACACACAGACTAGTCAGGCCGTGGTGGCACGCGCCTTTAATCTCAGCACTTGGAAGGCAGAGGCAGCCTAATCCTTGAATTCGAGGCCAACCTGGTCTACAGAGTTCCAGGACAACCAGGGCTACACAGAGAAACCCTGTCTTGAAAAATCAAAAACAAAGCAGAACAAAAAGACACAGAGATGACTTGACTCCTCCAGGTGGGTTTAACGTCACACAGGGACTTGGAAGCGTGGGAAGGCAGAAGAAACAGGACCAGAGTGTTATGGTGGGCGGGAGAAAGCCTTGACAGGCCACTTCTCATCTTGCAAATGGAGGGGACCTCATCCGAGGAATGTGCATGATCTGTAGAAGATGGGTAGGGTGAGAAAATAGGCTTTCCTTCAGACAGCCCGGTAGAGAATGTGACTTAATGGCACCTTGACATTCAGACTTCTGATCTCAAGAATTATAAGACAATAAAACTGTGTTGTCTTAAGCCTTTAAGTCTGTGATCATTTGTTACAGCAGTAATAAAAATCCAAACCCTCCTTCAAACCTTATCAGAAAACTTTTCCAAATCGAGAGATCACTTTGAAGGGGATGCTAAGGTGCCATTGAGACTGTCTCCCAGTAGCGGAAGTGGAGGGGCAGTGAAAACACGTTTATAGCTACCTTGGCCAGCTTCCCCTCCTTACTAGATTTACCACGTAAGAACACCAGATGCCCAGCTCAGTTTGGTTTTGGTTTTGTTATTGCTTTTTGTTTGCTTGATTATTTGAGGCAGAGTCTCGCTGTAGCCCAGGCTGACCTGGATCTCACTCTGTAGCCTAGGCAATTTTTCTATTTCAGTTTCCTGACGTTACAGGAGTAAGCCACCATATCTGGCACAGTTCAATTAACTTGAATTTCAAATAAAGAACAAATAACTTTTTGTTTGTCTCAAATCAATCCCAAAGGGAGCATCATTATGTTGAAATTTTTCTTTATGTTTATCTGAAATTCAGAATCAAATATATAACCTGCGTTTTAACCACAGCCCTAGGCCTAGATAGCCCACATCCCACACCTCCTAGAAGCTCACAGACAATGACTTGGAACATCACAGCTATGATGGCCTCCGTTTCTCAGATGGAAAAGAAGACGTCCCAACCCTGGTCAGGGCCTCTTGGTTGCCTGGAGTGTTTCCGGGCATCCTGAACTTCCAGGGTCTGCACCATGAATAAATTCATAACACTGGGCCCTGAAGACACCATGAGGTTTTCAATCACACACTGGCAGGCAGAACAGACATGGGCTCTCTTATTCCCATGGAAATGTTGAGACCACACTGGTCCCTCCATGAGGCACAGGCTGATGGTGGATCAGTTGTAGAATCAGTCTTAGGGCCTGTAGTGGGGGCGTCCCCACAGATCATTCTGCCTTTGCTCCCACCTCACTTCGGATCCCTGGGTAAAATCCCGTCCTCTCTCTAACCAGACGCTGAAACCTTTCTCATATGTTTGCTTGTCTGATCCTCTCATACTCCAGAGGAGGGACCTGAAGGAATGGGGACCAGGCAACAACATACAGAAGTGTTAGCTCATGTCTTAGTTTGCTTTTAACGACTGCGATAGGAAACCATGGCCAAAAGCATCCCAGGGAGGGAAAGGTTTATTTAATTTTATAGTTTACAGTCCATCATGAGCAGAAGTCAGGACAGGAACTTGAGGCAGGAAGTTGGAGAGAGGAAATGAGGCAGAGGCCAAGGAACAGTGCTACTTACTAGCCTGTTCTATAGCTTGTTCAGCTTGCTTTCTTATACACCCCAGGATGACACCCCAACCCATGGATGACATTGCCCACAGCAGACCGGGCCTTTCCGCATCAATCAGAAATGAAGAAAATGTTCCACAGACTCTCTTATATGCCAATATTATAGGGACTGTGTAAGTTAGGGTTTCTATTGCTTGATAAAAGACCATGATGAAAGTGACTTGTGGAAGAAAGGGAAGGATTTGCTTGGCTTACACTTCCACATCATACTCTAATATAGAAGAAGTCAGGACAGAAGTTCAAACAGGGCTGGAATACCCACCAAGGTATGTGACACTCTGGGTTCAAACCTAACGTAGAAGGGGGAGGGGGAGAGAAGGTAGGGAAGAGAGAGCAAGCAGATAGCCAGTGAAAGTTTCTAGAATTTACAGGGCATGGTGTACGTGTCTGGCCTATAATTCCAGCACTCAGGAGGTAG